TTGGTCATAAAAGGTATAACTCAGGGTACAAATGGTCTATAAGTATTAATACAACACAATGTACAAATATTGATTAGGTACATCACATTTTGAAGTTATGAGAAAAGTTACTTACAACCTACAATTCACATTTTCTAACTATGATTAGAGGAGCAGAAATTGAGTAAAATAGATAGGCAAAAGGTGAGTAACTAAGACTCTAGGAGAGGACAAATGTTTTCTAATGGTGAGGTGGAAGAAGCAATATTGTTGGTGATGTTGGCTTGCATTTTAATATATATATATATTATTACGATCTTTTTAAGACCGTAATATCTATTCAAGGATTACGATACTAACAGTACCGCGATGAATATTACGGTACTCTTAGTACCGTAGTGCCCTTTGTGAGCATTACGGTCATACAAAGACCGTAATGGTCGATAGCTTACTAGAATTATCGCAATAGTCATTACGGTACTCTTAGTAACGTAGCGCCCTTTGTGAGCATTACGGTCATACAAAGACCGTAATGGTCTAAATTCCAATAAGCTATGGACCATTACGGCCTTTGTATGACCGTAATGCTCACAGAGGTCACTACGATACTAAGAGTACCGTAATAGTTCATTACGATATTTGTATGACCGTAATGGTCACAAAGGCCATTATGGTACTAAGAGTACCGTAATAGTCATTACGGTACGCAGTACCGTAATAGTCATTACCGTACTTAGTACCGTAATACAAAAGTATCGTAATGCCATTTGTAATCATTACAGTCATACAAAGACTTTAATGGTCCATAACTTATAAGAATTATCACAGAGGGCACCACGGTACTAAGAGTACCTTAATATTTTTTTATTTTATTTTTTTAATAATATTGGTTATAAAAAATGCAAGCTAAGGTCACCCAACATTGCTTCTTCCATATCACCATTGAGCGACAATTGGACCATTACCAGTTCTTTTTCTTATTGTTAGACTTCCATAAATTAAGATGAATTAAGTAAGGGTGTGGTTTGTAATGGCTGAAACACTAAACAATCAACGTAAGACCACTAATTATTTAAATAAAATGAGACCATTTAGATCTAAATTGGATAGCTTGAAACTTCTCAATAGGCATTAGCCTCTTTACAAAATGACATATCAAAAAAAGATCAACTGATACTAATGGCCTACTTATGTCATTTTATATACTCGATTTACATGTCTTTCGGTTATGGCCCACAATCCCACATCAACTACACTTAAGAGGCCTAATACCTCCGTACTCTATTTGCTTGCGACATTTATTTGGCCGACCTGCGGTTCGCCTTACAGCTGGCGGCATTACAGTTGTATAGATAATCTCTGACAACTCTAGTACATCATGCATTGGGTTGAAGGGAAGGGAATATGTCATACGATACATTTGAACTGTGAAATAAGCGCCGCCATAATTTGTAACATCCTCATGACTATAATCTATAGCGACGATTGCATGACTACATGGCAACCCACTAACCTGCCACGCCCTACAATTACATGTGTGAGTTGTCAGATTAACACTATAATTCTTATCCGCATGATCTCAAACATACCATCATGGGCCTATGTGACTATATGAAGAAATTTGCACTTATCCCTCATCAGGTCTATTACCTTTTGGGCCTTCGGTGTAAGCACACCGCTTTATTCTAGGGACATGGGCATCTTTTTTGGAAATTCTCTCATGAGCATAACTCTTAAGTATTCAAGGAGTTTAGTTAGGGGCTTCTCCCGAGCCTATAATATCCACCTATTAAATGATTCAGAGATATTCGTTGTCAGATGATTGTATCTACACCCCTTAAAATGTGCGTTTACCCAATATTTCGGATGTTGTAACATGATTCAGTCATAGGCGTTAACATTTGCACTCTTAATCTTTACCATGTACTCATCGAAGTCTGATATATATACAATGTACATGCAGCTTTCCAATAAAGCTTTGTGAGCGTCCAATTTTTATAGGCCTTTTTGAAGTTATCGGCAAGGCGTTTTGTACAATAGCCTTGTTCACTAGTTGGAAATACTGTTTCAATTGCGGCTTGCAACCCTTTCTGGCGATCTGAGACAATAGTCAATGCTGGCAAATCAGGCCTCTCACAAAACTGTTCATTCAGAAGCTCTAGGAACCAAGTCCAACTTAGTGTATTTTCACTCTCAATTACTGCATATGTTATAGGAAAAATATTTTCATTCGCATCTACCCCAACTGCAACCAATAATATCCCTTTGTATCTTCCCTTTAAAAATGTCTCATCTAGTTCTATTAGTGGCCTACAACCAAATAAAAATACATACAAACATGAACGATTGCCTGTTAATACACGCTCAAACCTATTACAAACATCTGTTTGAATAATGGTTAAGGTTCCAGGGTTATTGACTCGAATCTTATGAAGATATTTAGCAAGATCCTCGTATGAGTTCACATGGGAGCCCTCATTTATCTATTGTGCAACCTCTTTGCCCCGTCATGCTTACATGATCACATTGTATATCATTAACCACATCCTTAGGTGTAAGATTGTGCATATCACTCAACTAGTGTTCGATCTTGCTTGCCACCCAGTCGCTCCGAGCAAGTGGCTAATGAATCCTATCTATTCCCCAGCACATGAGTGCACGTTTATCAATTTCTTCACCCTAAAGAAGTTTGTTGTATTAACCCTTCAATAACGCACTTGCCATGAACAACCATCTACAGTACACTTTGCCCATATACGTCTCCCCTCGATTTTATGAACTTCGTATTAAAGTTTTGTGATATAGCATAATTAATAAGATGATTACGACATGCATGTACGTCATCAAAATCCTGACCATCTTGAAGTACAACTTCGTAACGGTTAACCCTCATAGGGCTTTCTATCGGATCAATGTCATCCATATGCCGCTCGATTTTTTATTCATGCTCATTTTGTACGCCTATACCAACAACACATTCACTGTGACCTACTTGCTCTAGTTGGGATGTGCTGTAGAAAAAAAAAACAAGACAATTCCGAATTATCTTAACTCATAACAAAAAATTGACAAATAAGAAAATTTATGATTTTCATTGCAAACTTCTCACATGACCAATCTTGATAGATCATTATCGGGCATTGTTGGTAGTCGATATTCAGTGCAGTCAGACGGACCAATATCGGGCATTGTTGGTGGTTGACATTCAGTATAGTCATACTCAATAGATCTATTTGATACGTACATATCAATGAGAGAAGCCCCTTCCATCACATTGGCAATATCATAAGCATCATCAATATGTATCATATTACTTCATAACCCTAGGTCAATATACCTAATAGCCATGGTACTTGAAGTATAATTTGATACTTTTGACAAGTGATCCTTGACTTGTTCAGCTGATAGGATCCCCTTAAAAAATATAACATTTACGTCCCCACCGTCATAAAAAATACTTCCATTAGGTTTCCTTCTGAAAAATCCACCAATGTGTAAAACGATTTTCACTTTGTTCTCACCCATTATTGATGCTTTCAAGTTGAATCAATGCATAGAAATTTCAAGTGGAAACATAAAAAAAATACTTATAAAAATTTCAAAATACTTACACAAAGTGAGGAGGTTGCATGGAGGACATTAGATTGTAATACAATTGTCATAATATAAAAAAAAAAATACAATGGCCATCCAAACTACATCAAGTATTTTTTTGACGGCCAAACTACAATTGTCATTATATAAAAATACAATTGGAAGACATTATTTTGATGGCCAATCATTAAATAAAGCTAAAATTTATTTATGCAACAATATAAATAAATCTCAAACTTATTTATGCAACATAATATTTTTTTTTATGCTAAAAACAACATAATATTTTCATGACATATCAAAAAATCAGTTGGTCTGCAAATTTGATCCTCTAATGGACCTCCTTCAAAGATTGATAAAGAGTGATGATATGATAGAAAATAGATGAGAGAATGGATGAGAGAGATAAAAAAAAGTTTGAAAGTGCTTAACAATTCGTCATAATAGGTTTTATGAAAAATTTAGGAAAAAAAAAAGCAGGAAACAATTACGATACTAAGAGTACCGTAATTTCTTAAGTAAAATACCCTACACTTATTACGGTACCCGTAGAACCGTAAAAAGCTTTTGAAGAATTACGGTACTAGTAGTACTGTAATATATTATAAGAACAATACGGTACTCATAGTATCATAAATTAAACATTACGGTGTTTTTAATACCGTAATTCTTATTACGGTACAAAGATTACTGTAAATGGTAGTTTCATCCAAAAATTCACAAAAATAGAAAAAAAGAGTGTGGGCGAGGTTTTGCGGAGTTGAGTTTTTTTTTCTAATTTCTTAAAAATATGGGTATATTAGCGATTATTTTCCAAAAAAAAAAAAGAGTAAGCAAGGAATAGGGATGGTCTTGACGTGATTTCAAGAAAAATATAGCTCATCTCCTAACAAAGGCGGGGAATCATAAACCCTACATAATTTTTTTAAAAAGAAAAAAGAAAAAAAAGAGAAAAAAAGAAAGAACCTGGTTTCCATACATATGTAGAAATGCGGGCTTATAGATGAATCTATTTTTGAGATAGATTTTTGGGCTTAATGTTTGAAGACATTTCATTTCTAACATGCGGGCAAATTATGAATATGAAAAATAAATAAATTTTAAAAATTAAAAATAATAATTCTAGGACGAAAACATTTGAACGCCATATGTACTCATGCGTTCAAGGAGGCATGGGACAATTTTCGAAAAAAAAAAAAAAAAACCTCGGCAAGGGCGAACCTTTGACGGCTCTGCCCTGACCAGGGCAAACAAAGAGGAAAGGGTTGGTGACTTCGAGGCTGGGTACCGGACCCCTAGAGAGAGAGAGAGAGAGACGCACAGTAGCGAAGTGAAAGAGACGTGAGAGAGAGAGAGAGAGAGAGAGCCGACACAGTAGACGAAGGAAGAGACGTAGAGAGAGAGAGAGAGAGAGAGAGAGAGAGAGAGAGCCGCACAGTAGCGAAGGGAAAGAGACGTGAAGCCTGTACCCCCCCAACTCTATCCTTTCACGTTAACTTCCGACAATCAAATGGGACATGCATATCCACATTTCTGACTTCAAACACAAAAACCAATTTCATGGTTACAAATTCCCCTGGCCCCCTGTCCATACTTCAAACATTATCCAAACCCATTATCCTTTTCTCTTCCTCTCTCTTGAACCCTAAAGCCATTCGCCATCATTGAATTAAACACTCTTTCCCTTTCAATTCATGCCATTATTGTTTCTCTCTCTCTTCTTCTCCTTTTGCAAAAATTTGCAGGCGCATTCTATACTCATGATAGAGACATAAATTTGCAGGGAGGTTCTACCCTGATGATAGACAAACACCATCAAAGTTTTCTTCCCCCTGTGCAAATTTTTACTGGGACATTTTTCATTGATGATAGGAAAGCGCAATTGGTTTTTGCTGCCATTTAAGTGCTGGTTCTCACCGGAATTTGGAGAGGCTTGAGGCTTGACAAACCGATTAACCCAATGCTTTCGTGTCCGCTTTGTCCTTCTCCTTTCTCTTTCTCCCTATTTCAGAGAAACCCCCGAATTCTTTGCGGTGGCTGTCGACGGATTACACGTGTATTGAGTGTTGGAAGGAGAGAGAAATGGGTTCGACCCAATTCAGCTGTAGAAGTTGCGGGTTTATTGGGCTTAGAATCCTCGCAATTGGTTCTTGACAAACTCGCTCAGGTCCACATCTCTGCAATTCTTAGCATTTTGTTTTTGTGTTTTCTTGGAATATATGGTCTCGTTGTCACTGGCCTGAACCTAAAACACGGGTTTTATTGGAAATTGGTTTTGTTTGTCTTATCTTAATGGAATTTTTGTGTTATTCTTTGCTTTCTAACACTTTTGCAGGTATATCATGTGGTAATGATGGTCATGTAGCATTTCCCATGTGAGGACCAAGATTTTTGGTTGTCGAAATGGTGCAACTTCTTTGTTTGTTACGATGTTGCTTCGCAAGTGCACTTGAATGCATTGGAGCTATTTTGAATTGAAAGCAGTTAAGGTTCTCATTCATTATAAAAAAGGAATTAAGGTTCTAATTTTGTTTTTCTGAAATTGGAGAAGAGCTTTCTGTGGTTATTGGCCATTTTTATGTAATGGATGCGAGGAGTACTCCTCAACGTTAGGCAATGGATTGGTTCCTAATCCTATATTGGATCACCTGGATCTTAATGATTATGAGTTCAGGAAGTCTTCTTCCTTTAGATGCAAACCCATGTAGTTTGAGCACCAATGATTCAAGGAATGGTTAAAGGGTGGTGGTTTTGTTGAGGTTTCATTGGTTTGAGAGAACTTGAAGAATACCCATTGGTTTTGGGTGGAGCTCTTGAAAATAGTTCCCTGTCACTTGTGGAGACAATCCTGGAAATGCCTTGTAGTTTGTGATCTTATACAAGGGACTTGTCAACTAGGAGTCTTCCCTTACCCCTCATTAGCCAGCACAACTTTGTGTATTTCTATCTTTGCTGGTAGAAAGCCTGTCAATGTTTTTCCTTCAAAGAACTAAGAAAGCCTGTCAATATTAGTTGCATGCTTCTACTCTCTGAGGTTAGAAAACCCTATGGATATGGCATTACATATAGGGACTCTTCCACTCTTGTGATCACCTTTGGAACACCCATTTGGCTTTCTGTCAGCCAGAGATGCTACAAATTTTATTAGTATAATTACATTTAAGTTCACACTGCAAGAGTCTTCTTGACATTGGAGGTTTTTTGGATGCTTGGTTCAGTTGTATATGTCATAGATGTTAATATGAACTTCTTGCACATGTTTCTTGGCCTTGGCATTTTGCATTGTATCTTTAGTTTCTTAAGAAATTTAATACAAATGCTATTTATGTGAAGCTTAGATTTATTTGCATGTTTAATTTCCCATTATTCAGTCTTTAGGTTCATGACTTCAATATTTGTTTGACATTGCTTTAATTGAATAGCCAGTATCTTACTTAGAGTTTATTACATTTTTTGCCAAAGACATGTAATTTTTTTGACTGGTTCATAATTCTTCTTAATACCCACGAGTTTACTGACACATTTCTTCCTTGGTTTGGGTTGAAATATCTTTCAGTCTCATGACTTATCCCAACTGTTCTGGGTTGGTCCTATTCCTGGGGATCTTGCAGAAATTGAGGCATACTGTAGAATATTTAGAACTGCAGAACAGCTTCATATGGCAGTTATGGATAGTCTATGCAATCCAGAAACTGGAGAATGTGTTGTTTCATATGAGTCTACCCCAGAGGAGTTATCAATCAATGAAGAGAAAGTCGTTGCAGTACTAGGTTGCATGAATGCTCTGCTTAACAGAGGAAGGGAAGAGGTTCTAAGCGGGCGATCATCTGTCAGAAATTCATTTCAAACTGGAGATTTGCATGATTGGGATGGTTCTAAGGTTCCACCCCTCGCCATATTTAGGGATGAGATGAAAAATTGTTGTAGAAATTTCCAGAGTGCTCTTGAGCATTATTTGGCACCTTTTGACAATCGAAGGACCAATATCTGGAGAAGGTTGCAGAGGCTTAAGAATGTTTGTTATGATGCTGGCTTCCCACGTGCAGATGGCGACCCATGCCAAACCATATTCGCAAATTGGGCTCCTGTGTATTTATCTACTGGAAGAGAAGAAGGATCATCATCCAAAGATGGTGAAATTGCTTTCTGGCGAGGTGGACAGGTAACAGATGAAGGTTTGGCATGGCTTATAGACAAGGGATACAAGACAATTGTAGACCTTCGAGCTGAAGAAATCAAGGATGAATGTTATGAAACTGCTATTGAGCATGCTGTTTCTACTGGGAAAATTAATCTGGTTAAGCTGCCTGTGCAAGTTGGGACTGCCCCATCAAGAGAGCAGGTTGAGATGCTTGCATCATTACTATCAGATAATGAGAAACAACCACTTTATCTCCATAGCCAGGAAGGAGTTTGGAGAACTTCTGCAATGGTATCAAGATGGAGGCAATACACAGTCCGTTGTGTTTCACAGTTAAACTCAACTCATGCAAAAAATATGTCTGAAAGGCCATTTGCTGTTACTCAAAAATGGGAGAAGGATCAAATAGGCGAACAAAACCTTTTTCCTACTCAGGAACAGAGTGCAAAACTTGAAAATGGTTCAAAGACCAAAGACCAAGGTTGTCGAGGTGATGTCTCTATAAATGAACACCTTGGAAAAGAGGGGGATAATGGCATATCTGATGATAATGAAGGGTCTGTAAATTCTGGAGATCGTGATGAAGTCAAATTAGATGCTGATGTCTCTTGGGATGTTGATCCCTTCAAGACCCAGTTTCCTACTTGTAATATTTTCTCAAGGAAAGAAATGTCTAATTTCTTTCGAAGTAGGAAAATCTCACCCGAGTCCTTTTTCCTTTCTCATTGTCATAGTAACAAGTATGACATTTTCACGAATTTGAGCAAAACATCTGCATCAATGGACTATTGTAGAGACCTTCCCACACATGTTATTAACTTGAATACTGAGGAGCCTGGAGTGTCAGGTAGGGAGAATGGTATTTCAGATGATAATTTGAAGTCTCCTGGTGTGATTACCAGCACAGAAAGAAGGCATGCTGGTGAACATAATTCTAGACCTCTTGGTTTGTCAGTGAATGGCTCCACTCAAGAGGGAAATCATGTAAACAATGGGTCGTTGTTCTCCATCTCTAGGTCAGCAAAGACAATGCATCCTAAACCAGGAGAACAGATTCAGCAGAATAAGAATAATGCTGTTCAATCTGTTCATTCAATTGATGAAGATACAGCTGTTGTCAAGGGGAATATGTGTGCTTCTGCTACTGGCGTTGTAAGAGTGCAATCGAGGAAGAAGGCTGAGATGTATTTGGTACGCACTGATGGATTTTCTTGTACTCGGGAAAAGGTGACAGAGTCGTCTTTGGCTTTCACCCATCCAAGCACCCAGCAGCAAATGTTAATGTGGAAATCTTCCCCGAAAACAGTTCTGCTTTTAAAGAAGTTAGGTCAAGAACTTATGGAAGAGGCAAAGGAGGTATGATGTGAACCTACTGTAATTAAATAACATCTAACTCGTATCCATTGATATATTCATTTCTTTTCAGTTGTCTTTGTAACGTATTGTGAGGAATTACTACTTCCATGGCAATGCTCACGAATCTAGAATTGTAATCTTGTACACTTCTCTTAATGTTTGAAATATCTTAGCACCTTGTGATGGCAATAATCAATTACTTGGGGTTTTTTTGTTATGCAATTCTCTAATTACCTATACATTCTATTTAGGGAGAATATAAAAAGGCATTGATGATCTCAGCATTGAATTGATTGAACTTGCTGACAATTTCCTTAAAACTATCATTCAGATGTCCCTAATTAAACATGGCTATCTGTATGTTAGCATCTTATTGAAACAAACCTCTGCAAATGTCATGCATGATTAAGATTCTCTGCTTTTAGAATTTCAGAATTGATGCTTTTTGTTGGAACTGGTTATTCTCATCAGCTTGTGCCTTTGTGAAATCAAAGATGAAAAGGTGCTTTCCTTTGGAAGCTTGGCTAGGGTTTATATAGTCCATTTCATGTGTTAGTTTTTCTTTAAAATCTATTTTTACTTCTTTCATTGGGGCTGTCAGTTCTAGAAGTATATCTTTGTATCTGTGTAACAGATTTTCTTGTTCACTCTTTTTTTTTTTTAATCTTCATAATCATTTTGCTTGGTTTCTCTTTTATGTGAGAGATCCATGCTGCCAGCTGGCCTCTCTCACTCCATGAGGCATGTTTTCTGTGTCATGAAATGATGGGCTTCTCTTTTCTATGGATCCAGCTGTGTGTATATTATCCTCAGAACGATTTCTCTCCATACCAGTTCTTCTTTTTCCATTTACGTGGGCATTTAAATTTGTTTGTGGAGTTAAATAATGCAAATTTCTTTTATATGTTGTTCTTTTGGGGTCAGATTTATGTTTTTCCCCACATTTCAAAGAGAGGTTCATGAAATTGGGTTTCTTATGTTGTTTTAGGTCATGTACTGTTTCAATAAGTTTTAGAATGGAACTTTGGGGGTTATTAGTGGTGAGGGTGCTTCTTGTGAATTGGATGCATTCTCATTCCATTGTAGTCTACGAGATAGCATTAGTTATTCAGTTTTACTGAATGAAATGATCCGAAACAAATGACAATTGGGAGTACATTCAGAGTACAAATGAGATGGGGGAGTCTCTTGCAATAACGATTCACATGTCATCAATATTTTAGAAATGGGTTCAGAGGCAGTATTGTTGGGTTTTTGTGGCTATTTAAAGACTTTATGAGAGGATCTAATGAATTTCATAATAGTGGAATAATGAACTCCTGTGGGAGTATGGTCCAAAGGGACCTAAGTTGGCAATATTGACGATCACCCTTCATAGGTCAAGATAAAATTAGAGGTTACTTTATAAGATAAAGATTGATGCATAGTTTAATATAAAATTGAAATCTACTTAAAATAATAAAATTTACAAGAAACTATATGATTTAGTTGATTGAATTCAAAGCAAACATTAAGGGACTCAGAAGAATTTCAATAATGGTCATAAGTTGCTGCCATAACAGTATGAATGCCATGATTGCCTGCATCCCAAATGGAAAAAGGCCTTCTACATTCTTAAATCTAAAAAATACACAGATGACTTAGTATAACTATTGACAATCTTGAGACTGTAGAATGAGCTAGGCTTCAACATGCTATTCCCTTCAACATTAAGAAGCTTGGGGAGCTTGCCAACTTCTTTCATCTCGAGGTTCAGAAGGCTACAAAGGACTGATACTTGTGCAGTGGCACTGCACTTCAAATGTTTTTTGGAGGTTTGGAATCAATTAAATACTGTTGCATATATATTTTATGTAATGATTTGGGCACATAGGAGTAAGACGTGTTCTTTAGGCAGCGTGCTCAATGAAAATATTTGATCGTCCACAATTTGGTATACATTGAACTTACTATTTTGTGCTGTGCGGTGTTATAGCAACATGCCATCTATCATGCCAACTTCTGCTCTGAATTGCATGGCAGGTATAGCAATTTAGTAGTGGTTGAGTTGGTCAACTATAGAAAAATGAAGTAATGAGCACCTTATGTTTCCATTTACGTAGTAAATGTTACTATTTGAAGGCTCTTCCATAGTCGAACTAGTTCCCACTAGTATATTTCTTAAGGAATAGAAAATGTTAGTAGGGGCATTTTGCTTTGTTTTAATTTCTTCCTTGATTGTGATGCATATCTATTTCTAAATATATGTTGATCTTGCTTATATGAAACTTATTTGTGTTGCTAAACTTCTAAAGAATATTTCTCTTCCCCTAAATTTATTGCTCAGTTGTGCTAAACGTTTGTCCATGCTGTCTGTCTTACCTGTGCAATATATGTTGCTGTAAATATGTGCAGTTACAGATTTCTAATCGTATGCCATATTCTAAATATATCTCCAATCTCCTTGCTATATGTTCCAGATGCATAGTTTTGAGCAATTGCATATTTTAACTATATCTTACACATTCATAGGTGGCCTCATTCTTGTATTACCAAGAGAAAATGAATGTTCTTGTGGAACCTGACGTGCATGATATTTTTGCAAGAATCCCTGGTTTTGGATTTGTGCAAACATTCTATAATCAGGATACAAGGTAAAAAATAGCACAGACCTGGAATCACCTTTATTATCTCATGGATTGGGTTTTACATTCGCCAGATCATGGCTCACCTTGAAAATTTTTTACCCAATATGCAGTGATCTTCATGAGAGAGTTGATTTTGTTGCATGTTTAGGAGGTGATGGGGTTATTCTACATGCATCAAATTTATTTAGGGGAGCAGTTCCTCCTGTGGTCTCATTTAATCTTGGTTCTCTTGGATTTCTCACTTCCCATACGGTATATGACTTTTTTCCACATTGTTTATGACATATAACTTGGTTATTAGGTTATTCTTGGAATTTTCAAACAAGTTTTAAAGATTCCATGTCTTTATATGTTTGTTGCAGTTTGAAGATTTCAGACAGGATTTAAGGGCTGTTATCCATGGGAATAATTCTCTTGATGGTGTTTATATAACTCTCAGAATGCGCCTACACTGTGAAATCTACAAAAATGGCAAAGCTATACCGGGCAAAGTATTCGATGTTTTGAATGAGGTCGTTGTAGATCGTGGTTCTAATCCATACCTTTCCAAAATTGAATGCTATGAACATAATCGACTCATAACCAAAGTAAGACCCTTAGTTTTCTAACTAAGTATTACATGTTGCTCTTTTCTTGGTTTTCTTTTGATGATTAATCTTATGTTATGGTTCGTGATCATTTATTCTTTCATTATTTTGCAAAAGTTTATTTTCACATGAAAAAGAAACCAGAAGATATTCTTTTAATTCTTGTCTTCCTCACTTTCTTGGTTAGCTGAACTCGTTTTGTAATTGGCATTTGTAGACTATCTTCTTTGTATGAACATGTTTCTTATTCTTTTTACTTCCTTTTACTTTGTTATCAGGTTCAAGGTGATGGAGTCATAGTGGCCACACCTACTGGAAGTACGGCATATTCCACTGCTGCTGGAGGTTCCATGGTTGGGCCCTCTTTTACTTTTGACCTCTACTTATTTTCTTTCGTCTTTAGTTAGGTTGCATGTACAATCATGTTGTATCTTACTTTTTGTTGGTTTTATGAGTCTTCTTGCAAGCATTCAGCTGTATGAATATTAGGGCTGAGAATTTACCCCATTTCGGATCCTATTCAGATCTGGGAATGGATCCAAGATTTGGATCTAAAATTCAAATCCGGATCCAAAATTTAGATCCGAAGTGTAATTCGGATCAGATCCGATCTTGATACGACCCAATTTTTGAAATAGTATATACTATATAACATTATATATATAGATATAGGGAAAATGTCGAGAATAGCCCACTAGCTCATATCTACATATGAGCCCAACGGCCCAAATGGTCCAGATTGAATCTGGGCCGATCTAACTATCACAGCCTCATTTTGTATTTGAATTTTATTTTATTTCTACAAATCCAAATACCTTGAAATTTTAGGTGTGTATTCTTAAAAATTGGAGAATCTAATAAAAATATCAAAAAAATAATTTTCAAGAAATAAATTTACCAAAATACCCCTGAAACTTTTTGGGGGTATTTTGATCAATTTATTTTTTACAAATTATTTTTAAATATTTTAAAATTAAAATACGAAATGAGGTTGTGACCATCAGATCGGCCGGATTCAATTTGGGCCATTGAACTCATATGTAGCTGTGAGTTAATGGGCGAACCTCAACATTTTCCTTAGATATAAATATATATTTATTAATATATAATATAATACCCTTTAAACTTTTAGAAGACCTAATCCAGATCGTATGTATTGTTTTTGGATCCGGATCCCATGTATAGTTTTCGAATGCCGATTTGGATCCCATGTATACTTTTCAGATCCGGATCTGGATTTGGGTGGATCCAGACCCGATCTGAAAAATTTCTCATCCCTAATGAATATGAAGCAAGTGGGAAACTCGAAATCTCTCGGATCAAATTTAAACCATGTATTCTAAGCATGTTGTAGACTTACAATATCAGATGGTGCAATAATAATTCTTTAGTTTCATTGGTGTTTGCTTTTAAGATGTTCCAAAATTTGGATTTGAGGAATGTTTTTTTTCCGGAACATGTTAATTGTTGTATCAAGTAGAAAAAAAGAAGAAAGTTACAAGAGTTTAGGCTACCCAGAGACAGGGTGCCCTGTACAAAAACCCTCAATGGCTCCAAAAAGGGGGGAGCCACGTCTTAACAATGGTAGCTGGGGGCATGGCAGGGACAGTTGGGAGCAATTGATGTTTGCAGTAAAAGGAGGATACCTAGAAAACCTCTGAGGTGGTGGGTGACCAAACGATCTTATCAGTCCCTTAGAGTGGGAGAAAGATGGCCTGAAGAAGGGAATACAGTTAGGAAGTCTGGCATTTTGTGATCCACCAAAGGCCTCTTAAAATTTGGGTTCCACACCCTGGCTATGCCCAGAGTTTCGAAATGGTTGGCCACTGTCTCCTAGGTTCTCTAGCAAGAAGGAACAAATTGTGGAACCGATCTCTCGGCAGAGAATGACCTATCCAAAGGTCAGACTAGAAAAGGACTTTGTTTTCATTCTGAGTTTGGAAGCGTATATTGGCTTTGAAAGGGTTATAGCTGCGGAGCAGAGATCTCCATAATCCGGAATAGTTGCTGTTGGACCTGCCGCTAGGGAGCCAAGCTGATTCCTTATAGCGGTACTTGTGTCTAAGGACCTCTTGCCATAGTGGTTCTCTTGGGTGGCAAAGCACCACCAATATTGGCCTAGGAGGGCAAGGTTATTAGATTTAAAGTTGCGGATACCCAGTTCCCCTTGGGACTTAGGCAAACAGACTTAGGCCTAAGAGATTAAGTAGTGTTTTCTCCCTCCCTCTTCGGACCAGAGAAAATTTCTCCTAGGTTGTTCAAGGCGGGCGGCTACAGAGGAAGGCATGTGGAAAAGCGATATCTGTGAATGGGGATATTGGAGAGGGTTGCCTTCATGACGGTTATTCAACCCGCAGATGAGAGGAACCTTCCCTTCCATCCGGCGAACCTCCAATCAAACTTGTCAATTATGTGGCTCCATTACCTCTGTTTAGGCTTACCAATGCACGAGTGCAAGTCCAAACAGGATGATGACACGTTGTCAACTTTGTAGCCCCATCTACTGACAATAACTGACAACATGGGCTTGGACTGACACGTCGATCATTTTGGATTTTGCCATATTCACTCTAAAATGGTGGCCATTCCTAAACATTTGAGGAATAGGAGCAGGGAGGCAACCTGTTGGGTGGTAGCATTGCCAAAGAGGATGGTGTCATCAGCATATTGGAGATGTGAGATTTCGAGCCCATGGCTCCCAATTTTGAAGCTTTTAAGGAGACCTTTTTGGTACATCCAAGAGATGGGTCTGCGAAAGACCTCGGTGACTACCGCAAACAGTAATGGCGAAAGGGGGTCATCCTGCCTAAAACCTCTAAAAGAGGGGAAGAATCCTGTAGGATAACCATTGATGAATGTAGAGAATGAAGTGTTGGAAATGCATCCGCGGATCCAGGGCCCCCAGCAGGGCCCAAAATCCATCCTTTGAATGGTCTCGTTGAGGATAGCGTAGTCAACATGGCCATAGGCTTTCTTCCAGTCCCAGTCCAGTATAGCTGGGATCTTGGCAAGGTATCTAGAGTGAATGCATTCGTGAGCCACTTAGGCTCCATCAAGGATTTGGTGGTCCTTGACAATAGACCCTTGGGTCGGGGAAATGACCCAGCTGAGGACCTCTTTTGGCTTGGAGGCAAGGACCTTAGAGAGTATCTTATAAGAGGTTTTGATCAAACTGAGCAGCTTGAGGTTTTTGAGCTCTTTTGTCCCCTCAACTTCGGAATAAGTGCGATGAATGTAGCATTCATTGCCTTATGGATTATCCCTCTAGAGTGATATTCGTCGAAGAAGGCAAGAAGATCAGATTTGAGACAATTCCAGAAGGTTTCGAACAATGCCCAGAATATCAGTCTGGTCTAGGGGCGCAGTCGTGGCCAAGATCTTTCATCGCCTTGAGAATCTCTTCTAAAAAGGGGCATTCTAGCCAAGCTTCCTTGTCCAATGCGATGGTTTGGAAGGACAAATTGGCCATCAACAGACTAGGACTTGAGGGAGCCACGAAGAGATTTTTGAAGAAGTCAATGATGGCTTGTTCAACAAGAGGAGCTTGGTCTAAAACAAGGTCACTAACTTTGATTTGGGAGATGGTATTGTCTCACCTTCTACAGTAAGCAATCTTATGAAAAGGTGGTATTGAGATCACCGTCTTTAAGCCATTTGACCTTGGAATGTTGGGACCAAAAAATCTCCTTGCGGAGGAGTTGATAGCTAATATTGGATTGGGCTTTTGGAATCTCAGAGATTCTAATACTGCGCTGTTGTCCAAATGGTGGTGGCGCCTCTTCACCGTAGAGGGCACCTTTGGCAGGACGTCCTTCGCCGAAAATACCATATTGACCCCTCTAGCTGGCTGCCTCTTGCCATGCCAACAGCCTAACCTCTGGGTTTTTACGATCAATACTACGCTGCTATGAACTATTCAAAGCTAATGCTCGTTTCCTCTTGGTAGATCTGGCAGTGGGATGCTTTACTGGTCCAACCTTTGGATTGGACATACTCCTCTAAGGGAGAGATTCCCCGATCTCTTCCTCCTCACTTCCAACAAATCTGCCACTGTTTTTTAGTATATACCCTCATCCAGCCAGTGCAGAACTTGGACGCCCATCTTCAGGCGTCCCCTTCGAGATTACGAGCTGGATTCTTTCCTCCAACTTGAAGCTCTCATGCATTCTGTTACCTCCCACTTGTGGGTGGTAGTAGACTCATTTGGGACCCCAACCATTCGACATTTTCATGGTATCTTCATGCTACTTGGTTTCCATGTCATCCCACAACCCCCCTCAGCCTTTCTCTGCCCTGGCCAAGGCATGGCTATCTGTTCAATTGGCTAACCTTATACCAGAGGTGACAGTGGACCAATTACAAAAGTGAGGCATGTCCATACCCAATCAATGCTCTATGTGCCTCTGCAAGGAGGAGATAAATGCACACCTTTTCCTTCATTGCTCAGTGGCAAAGAAGCTCTGGGGGGAGATCTTACAACTCTTCGGGTGGGTGTGGGTCACTCCACCGTCAGTCCTAGCCCTCTTTAACTTATCCCATTTCCACCCATGGAAACCAGGGGCTTTGCTTTGGAAGGCTGTTGTCTCTGCGACCTTATGGGCAATTTGGACTGAGCGCAACCGGAGGTCATTAGAGGAGAGAGTACATCGCTGGAGGGCCTCAAGAAGCGCATCAAAATGTTGGTCATTTTTTGGGTCAGAACTACAGACACTTCCAAGCCTATTCCTCAGATTTCTTGCTACATTGGCAATTGTTGAGCCAAGTTACTGTTCCACGGGTCTCCCGTGCTTCCCTCTGGAGACCCCCAGATATGGGTTGGATCAAATTGAACTCCGATGGCTGCTCCTTGGGCAATCCAGGACCAGCTGGGGTTGGGGGTCTTTATGGGGACCATTCTGGCTACATTATCTTTTCAGTCTCTAAATCTATTGGAGTTGCCTATAGCATGCCAAAGCTTGTGCATTGCTTGATGGCCTAAGAGCTTTCAGGCCTAAGTGGGGTGATCGACTTGCCATTGAAGGTGTCTCCAAATCTATCATATCTTGGGCCTTGGGTTTTGTTGGTCATCCGTGGAGGCTTGCTCACATTTTTGATGAAATTTTCGATATTACTAGACGCCTTCACATCTCTTTGACACACGCTTGGTGAGAAGCTAACTCTCTCACTGACACCCTCGCGAAGGAGGGGGCAGCATCATTGTCTGGGGGTGGAACCCGCTGACATTCTTGCAGACAATGGCTTCCTCGATTCTTTTGTTATAGTGGATGTATAGCATTTTTTTGTATCTAATTCACCATCTTGGTGACATACTGCCCCTTTGAGGGCCTATTTAACGTTTTCCTTTCCTTAATACAAGTCAACGTTTCTCAAAAAAAAAATTGCTATCGTATACATAGGGAAGATTTTTTGAGTAGGTTAGCTGAATTAGGGCCTTGAATGCTGTGTTGTGGCCACACAATCAAGTCAAGGGCTGAACCCCTGAATTTTGGAAATCGTGTACCTATTCAAACTTAATGAAGCTTTCCTGGTTCCGGAGGAAATGTATTCTGCAGATGCATCTATTTTACTTTTTTAGTTTGATAAATGCATTTGTTTTGCTCTATGTATTCTATTTGAGCCCATTAGCTCACTCTATTGATGACCAAGTTTTGCATCTCATAGAATTCTTGGTATGATTGCTGGTGCTTATTATCACCATGTACTTGGTTCATGTGTTCCCATAAGTAAATAGTTGCTGCTAGAAGAATGTTGGTATATAGCATGGGCTATAGGAGTTGACTCTGTATGTGTACATGTGCGTGTGTTCTTTCTTGGACCCTCTAATGGTGAACTCAGAAGTGTGCTCCACAATTTCAACAGGAGAAGCTAATGGGGTTGCAAGATATTTTCATATAGGGGTGTTTGTCATTGTTTTTCAAGGGCAATGGCAAGATCTGTACTTTGCAGCCTGATATTCATCTTATAAAGATGTGTGTGTTCAACTATTATGACCCTCTTAGATGCCAAAACAATAACCCGAAATACCAGGATTCCATCTAGGATTGTGTTCTTAACTGGCCAGAAATGAAACAGGCGAATACAACCATAAATCAAGCAAGAAGCAAAAAGATGGAACACAACTCAAGAGCACAATATTCACATGGTTCACCGCAAAGGGGTTGCACTACTGGGTACGGCAAAGTGAAAATCCACGCTTCTATTGATATTACAGATTCCTTGATTTTGGGACACAAAAGTTACCTCTCTGACGCTTGACAATACTCTGTTGATTATCCTTGTTAAGTATACTTCTCCTAACCAGCAATGCCTGCTGATCGCCCATATTTTTCCAACTGCTGAAGCTGCCTCTGGGTCTGGGATGAGGACTTTGAGAGCATGGGAGACTTTCATCCACTAATAGGGGATACTGCCCAATCTTTCCATGGGAACTGTTTTTTTGTAGAGGACCTGCTTCTCTCTACAAGAGGCGAGTTATCTCTGTGTAGGGGCCTCACCTCTCTGCCTGTAGGCCTGGCTCTTTCTCTCTCTAGAAGCCTACATTTCCATGAGCAGTGACCTCAACTAGGGTGCCTGCTATTATCTATTTCTCACTCTCTAAATACAGCACATGAGGCACACCTCTCACTCTCTCTCTCTCTCTCTCTCT